TACTAGTACTTCTGCTACTACTACTACTACTACTACTACTACAACAACAACAACTACTACTACTACTACTACTACTAGTCCTAGTAGTAGTAGTAGTAGTAGTAGTACTACTACTACTACTACTACCACCACCACTGCGACTACTACGACGACGACTACTACCACTACTACAGCTGCTAGTACGACGGTGCTACGACTCCGGCTACCACTCATCCTGCCTTGCTGCGGTTCCTATGCCAGCTAGTTTTGATACAGCTCAGTCCAGAGCTGAACGTTGAAGCTTCTACGAAATGACTCAGCCGATATGGGTTTTGTCAGCTGCGCATTTCATTAAGTTCTGCTTTCTTGCTGCAACATCGGGGCCTTCATAACTAGAACAGGATTCTCGGTACCTTGTACCATGACTATACTAAGTACTATTGGGGCTGTCACGGGATGTGGTTACGTGTACTACTGATGCTCTGCAGACCCTCTGCCCGCTACATCGTGCCGCATCACACGAACAGCTGCAGAGGCGACCTGCACACATCTTCTTTCACCCCAAACCCTAAACCCTAGAATAGGGTTTAGGGTTTAGGGCTTAGCCCTAAACCCTAGAATAAGGTTTAGGGTTTAGGGTTTAGCCCTAAACCCTAGAATAGGGTTTAGGGTTAACAGTTTAGGGCTTAGCCCTAAACCCTAGAATAGCTTTGGGTTTCGGCTTTAGGGTAGAAGGCATAGGGGCTTAGGGCTTAGGGTTGCTTCATACATGGGGGGTCGTAGCCGGTGTCGTATCTAGAACTGCTGCTACATGTGCGCAGCGCCCGGCATCGATTCTCGGAAAAAGTCGCATGGTTCCTTCGACGATTGAAAACTTACATGATGCAATCTTCCCTCACCGCACACAAATCGAAACTTCCCTTTCTAGCTGATGTCCAACATATCTTGCTACCTTCTCATTTCATGAGACCAATCATGATGGAATTTCCACCATATTTAAAGCATAAAAATGCCACTTAGATACAAATGTGCATGACTTGCACTCTGATTTTCATAATCACTGCATCGCCGGCACATAGGTTGTTGCTTCAGAACAAGTGCACTCATGCCTCTTCGAAGAATCCTACAAGGTTTTTCGATCCTGTTCGCTTTGTGGGCCCAATACTGATTTCCTCCTATTCACCCCGATCGGAGTTTTGCATCAGACTTCACACCGCAACAATTGAGGTTTCGAGCTTGTGCTTTCTACATCAGCAGTGCTGAACTTAGCTGCATGGACATGCCTTGCGTCCTTACAAGTATGCTCGTCTTGACGAGCGTGGCGTCTACGGCGCTCATATCTTTACATAAGAGCTTCCGACAAAAGCCTCGAACTTCTCACAGCCTTGTAAGCATGTGTTCAACCGATGTGATACCTACGGTTGCACTTGTTCATAATATCTCCGCATGTTCATTAAATCGTTAGTATCATGAAAATGAATTAGAAGTTCTTTCTTCACATAACACCATATATATATATATATATATATGCATACTTATATATGATTGCCAGTGGCGAACTTTTAAACACGAAAGATCAAAATCGCTTAACACCTGCCAACACTGGCAGGTCGACAAATGCGTCGTTTGAGCACTCCAGAGACGCGTTGGTTGTTTGTTGTTGTGCTTCGTGATATTCGGTTTAGGCTTGAGGGTTTGGGGTTTAGGGCGATTGTTTCTTCGATGCGTCTGTCCATCTTCATTACAGAATTCTCTACGTCTCGGCGCGCTGGTGTCTCGCACATGTGGACGTCGCTGACCTGCCATGACTTAAAATGCTTGCTTCCGGTGTGTTCCCGGTAACAGGGGGTGCAGGGTTTCGCGGGTGGGGGCTTCTGTATAGCTTCGGTGTGCCCCTTCTTATTCTTGGCCGTAGCTCACCGAGTGAAGCTCTATGCTGCTCTTTTCCTTCTCACCTGTCAGGACCGACCCTACACCCTAAGCCCTAAAACCCCTTTACCCCTAAACCTAAGACCCTACACCCTAAACCCCTTAACTGCTAGATCCTAAAACCCCTATACCTTCAAACCCCTAAATCCTAAAACCTACATAAACCCTAAAGCCGCTATAAACCCCGAAGAAATACCCTATAAACCACCAGACAGCTTCGAACCCCTAAGCCCCTAAGAACTCCTATAAACCCTAAAAAGCCCTATAAATCCCTCAAAAAACATTATTAACCCTACAAAGCCCTAAACCCTCTTCAGGAGCTTGGCCCTTCGACCCAAGGCTTAGGATTGCTGAAAGACCTTCCGCGTGTAGCAAGGAAACCTCCTCGGAGCTCACCGAAACTTAGGGGTGTAGGCGTTTAGAGTGTAGGGGTCTAGGGCTAAGGGGTTTAGGGATTTAGGGTGTGGGGGTTTAAGCGGCTAGGTTTTTCTGAAGCCCCGGAAGCTGCAACAAAGCCAGGCTTTTAAGGGCGAGTGTGAGCCGTAGGGTTGGGGTTTGGAGGTCCTTTGCACTGAGGTCTTTGTGCCTCCGATCTCCGATCTTCAGAATCTCCCAAATGGCCCCAAAAAACTGGCCTAAGCCCCCAGAGACTCCAATACCCCTTAATGAAAGAATACACCTTAAATCATATTAGGGGTCATACCATAATTTAGGGTATATTCCTTAAGTAAGGGGTACTGGAGTCTCTGGGCCCTAAACCCGAAACCCGAAATGGGTTTAGGGTTTTAGGGGTTTAGGGTACCCTAACCCGAAAACCCGAAAGCCTAAACTTAAATCCCTCTACGTCTAAACCCAAACAGGGCATCTTACCTAGACCCCATCTCCGAAAAGAAGGAGTCGCCCAGGCGCCCTTTCTCTTGAGCGGACGGTTCAGACACGAAGCTGCAATGGCTGATATCAAGCGTGTTATGCATGGCATAATATAACATATAATATAACATAACATCATATAGTTTTGTCTAATACCATGTAAATATGTAAAAATACACAAAAGCCCCTCTCTCTCTCAGGCTTCTTTCCGAAACTTGGGATCAGCAAAGATGAAGAGCCTGTGGCTGCCATCAGAAAATTCCGCTCTGGTCCAGTGCTGCTTGAGGTCGGCCCAGACCATGAAGTACCTGGGTTGCTGAGTTTAGGTTAGGGTTTAGGGCTTAAAAAACTCACAAGGCCAGGGAACTCTAAACCTTCAGTTTATGATTATCCCCCCCTACAAAAAAAAAGAGTTAAAGTGTACTCATTCAGCTACTAAGGGGCTTCTCCTTCTCTAAGCTGTCCATCCAGAAGACATCCCAGTCCTTGTATGGCCATACGCGTTTCAGCAGGGCTTGGAAGCATCCGGCGTCCCTTTCAAAGCGACACATCGCTCCCTCATTTCCATTGATGAGCTCCGCCAGTCCTGCCTGGTCTTTGTCAAGGCGGGCGGTGAACTTGTCAAGGCTCCAACGGCTTTGGACCTCCTCCGCATTGCCATCACGGAGGGCTGAGGCAGGACTCCACAGTGTGGAGATCGTCAGCACAAGCATCAAGGATTTCGACATGAGCAAGCAACGGCAGGGTGTGGAAACAAGTCCGAGCGAGTTCTAGCAAATCAAGGCGGCACATGCAGGCCCTAAGCCAAGATCAGGCTGCCAAAGAGACATCTCCACTTCAGTCTGACAAGCCACCAATGCAGAAGATGGCAAGGCTGTTGGAACTTCAAGGTCATGCTTTTATCCAGCTGCCTCCGCTTGTTGGAGTGCATCGTACTACCAAACACCACCGTAACACACCCTCACACAGAATGCTGACGCGGGCAGAACAATGCCAAGCTGTGTCCTGATACAATACATGCTAGGCAGACCTCTTCATGACTAGCGGGGAGTCGCAGCCGCCAACGCCGTGATGTTGGTGGCTTCGCTTGATTGGTTCAGTTTTGTTCAACGGACTGCTGCGCATTTCTGGTAGCAGCTTGGGATTAGGGCTAACAACGATCCTTTAAACCCTCAACACGAACGTTGGCACTTGTAAAAGCGTTCACTTCGTGGATCAGGGTTGAGAAAGGCTCCGTAGTATTCCCTTCTAGTCCCTACACATTTCTACCACACAATCTGCTCCAAACGTCCGGTAGAATTATAACCCAAAGCCCTTGTAGAAATCCGCAGAGTAATCCTTGCCTAATCTTATGTTAAACCCTGTAGAACCTGAAAAGGGCATGTAAGATAATATAAGTAACAGGCTATTCTTAATCTTCTCATTCAGGCTCCTATCTTACAGCATCCGATCGCTCTCACAGGCAAGCAGAAGAGATCCACAGAAACCCGAATACTCCCCACTCCCTCGCAAACCGACAACCTAAACTCTAAAGTGGCTCTGAGGCTTGGTGGGGCCTTGGGACACAGTCTTGATTTTTTTTTGGGGGGGGGAAGTGGTGCTGGTCATCGTCCAGGCTTGACCGGTGTAGGATCCCGGGAACAGTGAGATCCTTCGGGTTTAGGGTAATGTAGGCCTGAATAGTTAGAGTAGGGTTTTGGGGCCCATTATACTATAATTATAAGAAAAGGACCCCCCCCCAAAATATTAGGGGCAATTATGTAGGCCCCTATATCTCATGGATGAAGCCCGGGGCTTAGCTTCGGGCTTTGCAGTTGACGTGTAGCGGCAGAAGTTGAGTTGCTAATTGCCCAGAGACTCCAATACCCCCCCTTAATTAAGGAATATACGTTACATTATGGTAGGATCCCTAATATGATTTAAGGTATATTCCTGAATTAAGGGGTATTGGGGTCTGTAATTGCTAGGCTGGTTACGACAAAGAGGCGTGCGTGTGTGTGCACCCAGACCGGAGTGGTGTGAAGTTTAGGGGTTTAGGGTTTAGGGTTTATAGAGGGTTTAGGGCCCGAATCCATAATCCTGAACCCTAAACCCGCGCAACCCGTATGCCTACATCCCAATCGTGCAAAAGCCTATGGAGTACTCAGCAAGTTCAGGGAGATTTCCGAACACCGAGTAATAATGTAGAACATACGGCTTGGGGTTTAGAGTTTAGGGTTTAGGGTTTTGGGTACATCTTTTACTAGAACATCTTGACCGAAAAAAGCACACACAGCCTACAGCTCTTCCCAAAGGATCCAAGTACGTGGTGCTAGGCGGAAGTTCCACACAACGGGTACATGGCTCTTTTGGCCCCATTAGCAGGAGCTGCCCGACAGCCTTTACAGCAAACTGAAGGCAGCTTTGGCTTTTGACACTAGCTAGGCTTGTAGCGTTTAGGGTTTCCACACGTGCAACGCACAGAGCTTTCTCCCCCACTGCCTGCAAGCCCGCGCGCTAGCTGCTACTTCTCCTCAGTAAGAGCACTGTAGGCTTTTAGGCCAACCAGGTCAACCCAAAGCATTTAGGTACACTCTAAACCCCAAGCTTCACAGGGCTTGGGGACAACTCAAGTGTTCATGCGCACGGAAGAGTACGGGTGTATCTTTCATAGAGCAACATTGATGCTCGCTTGGGGCATGAGCCAAGATACCACGATGTTGAAACTGTGTAATGTAGGGGCTGTAATAATTAGAATAGAAAGAACCCCCAAAACGGTAAAGGTCATGATTAAACCCTAAACCCTAAACCCTAAATCCTAAACCCTAAATTCCAAACCCTAAACCCTTTAACTTTGGGGGTTGGCCTTCTGTTCCATTGCAGGGCCTTCAAAACCAGAGACCTGAACGCCAAACCCCAGGATCGCACTGAAGCCTTGGGGTTTAGGGTTTGGGGTTTAGGGTTTAGGGTTTAGGGTTTAGGGTTTAGGGTTTAGAGCTGAGGGCTTCGAGTTTAGGGTTTAGGGTTTAGAGCTTCGGGTTCAGGGTTTAGGGTTTAG